GCGGCACGGCGAGCTGAGGCTGCAGGGGAGGGGGGACAGCAGGGGAGGGTCTGGGTCCCGTGGGCCGTAGTTTGCCCACCTCTGCTCTATGGCAATTCAAAGCTCAGCTCCCATCCAGTCTCAGTGTTGCAGACCAGTCCAAAGGGTATTAGGCACCCAAAACCAAAGTTGGATGCCTGATTCCCAGCCATAGGCTGCTTTTGATTGAGATGGAAGCAGAAAGGAGTTGCAAGAGAGGGGCTTTCCCATCGGTAGGTTTACTTTCCAGATGTGTGAAGCCACAGAGAGAAAGGAGACGAGGGGAAGAAAAGAAAAAGGATTTCTAGTTTTCTTCTATTTCCTTTTTGTCTCCAGGCTACGTCAACAGTTGCTCTCTGGCCCACTCCTTTAGTCCTTTTCTTCTGATTCAATCTCTCATCAGCTATGCTGCGTCTCTACTGCTCCGCTTCCCTTTTCAGGATGTGCCATTTTACTCGGCAATCAACCCATTTGGTCTTCTGTAGCTAGGCTGCCCCCCTCACTCCTCTCTTCACTGTTTAACGCTGAATGGTTCGGTCTGGCTCTCAGCCTGAACATCTGCATACATGTCTGCTGGGCTACTTTCTATATGGCTATTTCAGTCATGTAGGGACCCCTCCGTATTTTAGCAGCCATGTTTCCCAAATGCTTTTCCAATCGCAAGGGTGCGCCTCTCTGTGTGAACATGTGTTGTGTTCTTGAGCATGTGCATGGAGAGGCGTCCCACTCTGGCAGGGCACCAGGTACAACAGGGAGGTTCTGAACCCACACAAGTGACCTCAGCATTTCCCATTCTGGCCAAGATGCTGCAACAAACAAACAAACAAAAAAACCCACCACAACCCAACTGTTTTTTCTGCATCCGTTCTACAAATGGCCAGTCTCCTGCCACCTCCCAGCTCTGGCATGTCTGCCTGCCACTTGAACAGCTTTATGGTGTGGCTAGCTGGGATCATAAGGTGATTGGCACCTTAAAGCTATCTTTAAGGGGGAGGAATAGCTCAGTGGTTTGAGCATTGGCCTGCTAAACCCAGGGTTGTAAGTTCAATCTTTGAGGGGGCCATTTAGGGATCTGGGGCAAAAATCTGTCTGGGGGATTGGTCCTGCTTTGAGCAGGGGGTTGGACTAGATGACCTTCTGAGGTCCCTTCCAACCCTGATATTCTATGATCTGCCACAAGAGAGATTAGGAGCAGGACGCATGCTGCAGCAGGAGGGACAAAAGGATGTTTTGGAGCAACGGTGTGGTGTCAGAAGGAGATGGCTGCAATCGGGAGCAACTAAAATGCTCAGGAGATATAACCCACTCTTGCATGACTTAGGAACATCCTTTGAAGCCATCTTCCCCGGCCATACGGCTCCTACCTTGCACCAGAATGGAGCCCACTTTGCAGAGGCATAGAAGCCCTGGGTAGCATCTGCTGTCTCATGCTCGCTCCATGTCTTCTGCTGCTACCTATCCTTCTCCCTGCAGGTATCACAAGGGACAGATCTACCATTACCCATTGGATTCCAAAGGGAGTTGGATCAGGCCCCAAATGATCGCGTAATTGATTAACAGTGCTGGAGGAAGCAGCAAAAGCCAGCAGAGCTCAGCCATAGGGCACGATTGTATCACATAGAAAGGGGGCAGGGGGTGGGGAGCTTAGCCATCAGCTGATGGGGAAGAGAAAGGTTTGGATCTATCTATTGGGAGAGACAGGAACCAGCGGAAAATTCCTGACCCAGATCAGAACTTCCTCAGTGTTTGGGTGTGTTCAGCCCTGGGGTTACATGTCTAGTTAGAAATTGAGTTATTTTGGAATTCCCGAGCAGATGCATGCCAGATCTGGGGCTGAGTGTGTTAACAAGCTGATAATTCGAGCTGGTTAACATTTGCCCCCAAATTAATTGTTTTTGGACAAAAATTTTAATCAAAAGCTTTGAATTCCAATGAGAAAAAAACAGGAATTCCTCCACAAGTTTCATCTCATTTTCTCGTTGAAGTTTCAACAAGATTCCAATAATCGGTTTGTTGATGAAAGTTTCGATGGCAGAGTAACAGCCTGGTTTTGAGCTAGTGACAGTGCCCCCTAGTGGTGCCAAATTGGATAAGGGACATAGCACCACTGCCCTCTAAAGGAGACCTAGAACGGCTGGGAGGGGAAGGTCCCTAATCTTCTCCTTCTGCCTGCAGCATTGCCCCAGTTGCTTCTTTCTGTTCCACACTTGCCAAGGCCCCTTGCAGTCTCTGAGCTGTTCATATTGCTTGCTGAGCACCTGCTCATACATGGCCCAGCCCTGCATTGACCTAGATAGTTTGCAGCAAATACTCATCTATCTTTGACATCTCCACCCGTGCTTGCCTTGCTTGACCTTTCTGTGATCCCTATTCTACCACCCTGGGGCTGCTGCAAGAGAGTCATTCTGGCTTGAGAAGTTGAACTCTGGGCTATGGAGCCCAGGCGCGGACTCATCCCTCAGCATGGTCAATCAGCAAGTGCCACTGTGGTCCTGCATCACCGAGGTGCTCGGGCCCATTTACGCAGTGACTCTGAGCTGCTTTCAGACCCAGACAATGAAGCCACTTGCTCAGCATTGATCTTCTGAGAGCAAAACAGCGGCATTTTGGAACCGGGCCATGGAGTTTAATATAATTATGAAGCCAGTGGTGCAGCTTTCAGCCAATCTGGCTTGCAAATGGCTTTATCTCATCTGAGTGGGAAATATATAGTTTCTCTAAATGTCTCGGAGAAAGGTTTTATCTTTAATTGATGCTTGGTCATCAGCCACAAAACCACTGATCACTCAGGATTTGACACTGCTTTCTTTCCAGTGTTATGGAAGGCCTTTCCCAGTGATACATTCCCAGGGGCTGAAACCCTCTAGTTCTGTTTCTGATCATCGCATTTCACCATCATTCACAAAAACCAGCCTCCGCCTGTGTACATCCTCTCCAGAGTCATTCCCAACATGTGTTTCTTGTGAGCGTAAATTAATGTCCACAAGCTAATTGCAACAGTGACCTGGAACACTAGGCAGTGCAATCAGGGCCCCCATGTACACTGCCATTCCATGCCATTTGCTGCTCAATCCCCGTCCTGTGCTGGAGAACCTAAACTGTCATTTAAAACTATTAGGGGCTAGATCCTCACCTGGTGCAAATCAGTGCAACTCCTTTGACTCAAGTGGAGCTACATCAGTTAACATCAGCTGAGGATCTGATTCTATATTTCTAGGCCTTATGACTGCAAAAAAAAAAAAAAATTGAAAATATGAACCTAATGTAAAACAATATAAGAACATAAGAACGGCCGTACTGGGTCAGACCAAAAGGTCCATCTAGCCCAGTATCCTGTCTACCGACAGTGGCCAATGCCAGGTGCCCCAGAAGGAGTGAACCTAACAGGCAATGATCAAGTGATCTCGCTCCTGCCATCCATCTCCACCCTCTGACAAACAGAGGCTAGGGACACCATTCCTTACCCATCCTGGCTAATAGCCATTAATGGACTTAACCTCCATGAATGTATCCAGTTCTCTTTTAAATGCTGTTATAGTCCTAGCCTTCACAACTTCCTCAAGCAAGGAGTTCCACAAGTTGACTGTGCGCTGTGTGAAGAAGAACTTCCTTTTATTTGTTTTAAACCTGCTGCCCATTAATTTCATTTGGTGGCTCCTAGTTCTTGTATTATGGGAATAAGTAAATAACTTTTTCTTATCTACTTTCTCCACATCACTCGTGATATAGTGCTGTCTTCCTGAATCTGCAGGCAGCCTGACAACAGCTCAGTGAGGTGTGAACAATTCCATTCCTTGCAAGAGGTTGTTAACTCTGAAACCTAAAGATGGCATTTAAAAGGTCAACATTACTAACTATTTCCCTGCTAATCATCTTTACAGAAAGAGCCAGTATGTGTTCTTCTACAATCTCGTGCTGTCAAGTAGGGACATTCATATTAAAAACAAAGAACACATAAAACCAGGAATCATTTAAATGAAGCTGCCATGGAATTTCCAGTCTGCTGCACCGAGAGCACTGTGGAACCCAGGTGTCCTGAGGCAGAATCCAGTGACCCTGTCACAGAGTCCAGGGACCTGGACACAGAACGTGGGGGCCTGTACTGTAGAATAGAGGCCCAGGGTGTTGCAGGGTTATACAGAGTCTTGGCTGCAGTTTATAGGTGCAGTGGGTTTGGCCAATAACCAGATGATTCAGCGAGCTTGCGCAAAGGAAATGCAGAGGTAGTGACACGTACAAGAACCAAATTTCAGCTCCCAGATCTCTTTATTAGAACTCTAGTACTGCTTGACAGGAAGAGGCGTGTGTACAGCATATAAGGTAATGGGATTAGTATTGCCTTGGTCACAGAGATATGTAACAGCATTAGAAAGAAGCTAGCCATATCAGGCCAGCCGGTCCACCTGATCTCTGCTATTGCACGCAGTCATTGGCTACTCTAGTATTGCAACTTGGACTTCTTGGAGGCTTCTCCACCCCACCCCCATGCACCTCAGGAGCCATTGTCCAATGGGTCCCAAACCAATCCCAGGAGCAGCCTCTTTTAGAGAAGGAATCTGTACATTGGAGGAGGCTGGAGCAAACGTCACAGAGTCTAAAAATAATAATTAAAAAAAAATAGTCCACAGCTACCGCTCGGCGGATGAACACGGTGAGAGCACAGATGGTGCCTGCAACAGGGCGTCTGTGATGAGCAGCTGATGCCCAGCGATGGTCGTCTGCAGCGAGATCCGGGCGCCGTCTAAGTTACTACAGCAGAACGACAGCAATCACGCCGGCCAACGGGTCAGTCAACAAGTGACGGGGAGCGAGTAGGGTTCATTGGAACAGTCAGACAGCACGGGAGTCGTTAATGGCGTCGTCAGTGGGGGCAGGGCGGGGCGAGGACCGTGGTACACATCAGACAGACGGTCGTACGACACATGCACAACAAGCAAGGTTACAGCGCGGCGGGAGAATCCGGTCTCGTCCCCCTCTTCCCTCGCCTGCCCTGGGTACATTTAGACCTGGCAAATGGTCTGAGCAAATCCCAGCTTCCAAGGGAGTCAGAGGGGATTCGACAGTCCTGCAAAAACAAGGATTTTCAGAGTCTTTCACAGCAAAAAGATCTTTGCCCGTGCGGCTGAGAGCAGGCAAACATGGCCCCACTAACTCATCTTTTGTTCTCTCTGCCTGCCAGCGCATGACCAAAGCTTTAAGAGAAGGTGATGACCTCGGCTTGGGGATAATTAGAAGAGAGGACATCTTTGCAGCTCTCTGCGTTTAAAGGACACAGGCATTAAACACACCATGGTACGTTTTCTCCTCTCAGCACTTCCTGCTCAGGGACTTAAATAAAATAAATAATAAATAAATAGAGACAGAAGGAGATCCGTGTGCCGTGTGGATCCAGAGACAGGGATGCTTTGAAAGGATGATTCATTCAGCTTTCTAAAGCCTGGGTAACACTGAAGCCGCCCAGACAGAACATATGGTAGTTTGGGTGAGTCAGAGGGAGAAGGCTTAGGCTAAATGAAGGGCTGACATCACCCAGGATGGGCACCCCGGAGGCTGGGTACAGTACAATCACTCTGCAGTTAGAGTCCCACCCCCAGCTGAGCATCCCTGGGCACTGGATGAGCCTCACCCTGGCTGGCACTCAGAAGAGCAGTGGTTTTTAACCTTTTCATAGAATATCAGGGTTGGAAGGTACCTCAGGAGGTCATCTAGTCCAACCCCCTGCTTAAAGCAGGACCAATCCTCAACTAAATCATCCCAGCCAGGGCTTTGTCAAGCTGGACCTTAAAAACCTTTAAGGATGGAGATTCCACCACCTCCCTAGGTAACCCATTCCAGTGCTTCACCACCCTCCTAGTGAAAAAGTTTTTCCTAATATCCAACCTCGACCTCCCCAACTGCAACCTGAGACCATTACTCCTTGTTCTGTCATTTGGTACCACTGAGAACAGTCTAGATCAGGGGTCGGCAACCTATGGCACGCGTGCCAAAGACGGCACGCGAGCCGATTTTTAATGGCACGCTGCTGCCTGCCGGGGTCCCGCTCAGCCCGCTGTCGAACCCCGGCAACGGGCTGAGCCGGACCCCGGCAGGCAGCAGCGTGCCTTTAAAAATCCTGCCCGACCCAGCCCGCTCTTCTCTGCCCCCCGCCTACCGTTCTCTCCGGCGGGGGCAGGGGGCAGAAGCAAGCTTGGTCCTGCCAGCTGCTGCTGTACGGCAGGCTCCGCCGGCAGCCAAGCTTCCCCCTCCCCCGCCTCTTCCCCCAGCATGCTGCGTGGAGCCCCGCCTCCTCTCCCTCCCTGCCGCCGATGGCCCTTGCGAGGGAGGGGAGAAGAGCAGCCCCAGCGCCCTCACTGCTCAGACCAGTAAGGAGACGGAGAAGAGGCAGGGGGGTAGGAGCGGGGCGTATCCCTCCAGCCCCCTGCCGTGAGCCACTCAGGGGGCAGGGAGCACCCCCCTGATCCCAGCCCACCCCCGCAGCCCTCTGCCCTGACCCCTGCATCCCCCTTGCACCCCAGCTCCCTGCATCCCCCCCATGACCCTATCCCTGACTCCTGCACCCTCCACACATACCCAGCCCCCCCACATCCCATGCCCTGACTCTTGCACCCCCCACATCCCCACCCCCCATCCTGAGCACCAGGCCGGCATCGGGCTAAGCGGGGCCAGCAGCCGGGACTCTGGCTGGCAGGTGCCAGTGGATGGAACCCCAGACCGGCAGCGGGCTGAGCTGCTCAGCCCGCTGCTGGTCTGGGGTGCCGGCCCTGCTCAGCCCACCACCGGTCTGGGGTCCCGGCCCCACTCAGCCCGCTGCCGGTCTGGGGTTCTGGCTGCCGGCCTGGGGTTCTGGCTGCCGGCCCCTTGCCAGCTGGGGTCCCAGCCGCCGGCCCCACTCAGCCCGCTGCCAACCTGGGGTTCTGGCTGCCAGTCCCTTGCCAGCCGGGATTCCAGCCACAGGCCCCGCTCAGCCTGCTGCTGGCCTAGCGGAACGGAACCCCAGACTGGCAGGGGCTGAGCAGGCCGGCGGCTTAAGATCAGCATTTTAATTTAATTTTAAATGAAGCTTCTTAAACATTTTGAAAACCTTGTTTACTTTACATACAACAGTAGTTTAGTTATATTATTTATAGACTTATAGAGAGAGACCTTCTAAAAAAATGTTAAAATGTATTACCGGCACGCGAAACCTTAAATTAAAGTGAATAAATGAAGACTTGGCACACCACTTCTGAAAGGTTGCCGACCCCTGGTCTAGATCCATCCTCTTTGGAACTCCCCCTTCAGGTAGTTGAAAGCAGCTATCAAATCCCCCCTCATTCTTCTCTTCTGCAGACTACAAATCCCAGTTCCCTCAGCCTCTCCTCATAAGTCATGTGCTCCAGTCCCCTAATCATTTTTGTTGCCCTCTGCTGGACTCTTTCCAATTTTTCCACATCCTTCTTGTAGTGTGGGGCCCAAAACTGGATGCAATACTCCAGATGAGGCCTCACCAATGGTGAATAGAGGGGGAATGATCATGTCCCTCAATCTGCTAGCAATGCTCCTACTTCTACAGCCCAAAATGCTGTTAGCCTTCTTGGCAACAAGGGCACACTGTTGACTCATATCCAGCTTCTCATTCACGATAACCCCTAGGTCCTTTTCTGCAGAACTGCTGCCTAGCCACTCGGCCCCAGTCTGTAGCAGTGCATGGGATTCTTCCTTCCTAAGGACTCTGCACTTGTCCTTGTTCAACCTCAGATTTCTTTTGGCCCAATCCTCCAATTTGGCTAGGTCCCTCTGTATCCTATCCCTACCCTCCAGCGTATCTACCACTCCTCCCAGTTTAGTGTCATCTGCAAACTTGCTGAGGGTCCAGTCCACACCATCCTCCAGATCATTAATGAAGATATTGAACAAAACTGGCCCCAGGACCAACCCCTGGGCACTCCGCTTGATACCGGCTGCCAACTGGACATGGAGCCATTGATCACTACCCGTTAAGCCCGATGATCTAGCCAGCTTTCTATCCACCTTATAGTCCATTCATCCAGCCCATACTTCTTTAGCTTGCTGGCAAGAATACTGTGACCCCCATATTGCTACAACTAGTTTGGGGACCTCAGTCCCAACTAGCCATGAAGAAAGATGAGGTAGCTGATAGCCGTTTGCAGCCCCCAGGTTGCGATCCCATGCTACAGAGTACCATCACCCCTCACGGCGCTCCCTTAGGGCTGGCCACATGAGAACCCTTACCTTGGCTAAGAATGCCTGGGGCCAGATAGGGTACCACTCCAGCCATGAGCCTGCATGGACCCCAGGATTGTACATGCCCCTCTAGGGCTATGTTTCTACTGACAACTCCCTGCATCATCCCACTGCCTGGGCTCAGATCCCAGCTGCCCCCGAGTTCACATCAGGCTGAGTGGAGCTGGTAAATAGCTGGCAATCTCCTGGGGCCCTTACCTAGCTAGTTAGGTGCAGGGAGCCCATATGAGATTTGAGAAAAGAAGTTGCTATTGATTGTAGTCAGGAAATGCAACAAGGGAACAGATCCTGCAGGAGACCAAAGCTATCAAGGCCCCTGCTTATATGATCCTAGTTAATAAACTGACCAAAATGACTAACAGCATAATGGGAGTACGATTCTTTTAGAAAAGAGCCTTCACTTTAACATAAAGCTCGCATATTTCCTTAACAGGATGTTTAAGAAACATAGTCCTTCCTAGGTCATCAATACAGCACACTCCGAAATCACTCCAGACCCCTCATTGCCACAGAATACACTTGACACTCCATGCATATTTGGGACCGGATGCTGAGGGAACCCACCATGGGACAGATTCTGTTCCCATCTATGCTGGTGTAAGCTAGAGTAACTCCACTGAAGTGAGCAGAGCCACATTGACACTGGTGGAAATAAGATCAGAATCCAGCCCTGTGATCTTTGAGGCTTTTTTTCTCCTCAGCAGGGTAGTGTTATTGCCATGGGAAAGGTGGGATTATCCACAGACGGGCCAGATCCTGATCATAGAAGATTAGGGTTGGAAGGGACCTCAGGAGGTCATCAAGTCCAACCCCCTGCTCAAAGCAAGACCAACACCAACTAAATCATCCCAGCTAGGGCTTTGTCAAGCCAGGCCTTAAAAACCTCTAAGGATGGAGATTCCACCACCTCCCTAGGTAACCCATTCCAGTGCTTCACCACCCTCCTAGTGAAATAGTGTTTCCTAATATCCAACCTAGACCTCCCCCACTGCAACTTGAGACCATTGCTCCTTGTTCTCTCATCTGCCACCATTGAGAACAGCCTAGCTCCAACCTCTTTGGAACCCCCCTTCAGGTAGTTGAAGGTTGCTATCAAATCCCCCCTCACTCTTCTCTTCTGCAGACTAAATAACCCCAGTTCCCTCAGCCTCTCCTCAGAAGTCATGTTCCCCAGACCCCTAATCATTTTCGTTGTCCTCTGCTGGACTCTCTCCAATTTGTCCACATCTCTTTTTGATCTCTTACACCGACGTAAATCCAAACTCAATGGACTTCCACGGAGTTATGCCAGATCAGACTTTGTCCTGAGAATTTGTCACTTTTCCCACTGCCTGATCTGCACAGCACAGGATGGTATATTCAATCAGATAGGGAGCGTGTTTTCATTGCATTAGTCTCCTTCTACTACCCTGCCTTCTTCGGTACTTAAACACCAAAAGATTGACGCTCCAATTCAGCAGAGCTCAAGTGCAGGCTCACTTTTAAGCATGTAACTGTCCTATTGGAGTCATGGGGACTACTCACACTCTTGAAGTAAGTGCTTTAAACCCAGCTCCTGAATAGTCATTGGCCCCTAACTTCCATTGATTTCAATGAAGTTAGGAGCTTGAATACCATTGAAGATGTGGGCTTAGGACCTGAAAGAACATCTTGTACTCCCGGGGGGAGGGGGGAAAGGGGAGAAATACTGGGACCAGGAGGCTGGGCTCCCAATAGGGTTGCCAATTTTGGTCGGATGTATTCCTGGAGATTTGATCACATGACATGATCTTTAATTCCTGGAGACTCCAGGCCAATCCTGAAGGGTTGGCGAACTTAGCT